GCCTGAATTCCATCAATCCACGATTGATTGCACAACCCTTCATCCATTTTCTGAAGTAGATACCTGTCTCTAACCAACAAGGATTGAACTCTATTTGTCATCACTGTTTCTCATCAGAATGACTTATCACTCAGAAAATCAATGTTTATTTACATGAGACCATATCATATGTAAGTCATTTTCAGTAGAGTCCTCAGCAAGGTATTATCGAATTCCTTTGATAAATGGTTCACTGCGACTTCAGAGTGATCATTCTATCAATAAAAATGTATATCAGTTTAACTCACAATGAATATTGATATTTGTGCACCTATGCAATCACCCATCGCAACATGCGGAAAACAAGAAGATGATTCAGTGAATTCATTTTGAAATTTCTACATAACTTTACACGTGATAAGTTGGATTTAGTTAGTGTGTACTACTGTTAGACAAATCAAATCAATCACGTTTACCTCATATCTGATTAAGTAACTCCAATTGATCGCTCATTATGCTAACTTATTGATAGTGGGACAATTCTGCATGAATTGTCGATGGAATTCCGTCTGCGTCAGCTCGATTATTTAGTCTTTCTTAAATTTTGAATTGAAAAGCATTCAAACGAATCATCCATGAATAAATGTATGTAGTGCTTTTACTAAAGTGACAGAAATGATTACAGGTTCCACGTCAGTGTTGGTCCTATGAAACACAAATGACCGTACCCTGTGTAATTCGTATAATCATGTAATATATAATTCTTAGGCAGTAAATTCAGAATGTTCCAAATTCTGATGTCTCAGGGAAGCTGTCGTGATATTCTTTGTTTCTGATTTGTTTCTTGACATGCTTATTTGTTTTTTCTAATATCTAAACTGAAGCGTGTGTTTACGTAGGATCTTCACGTTCAGTGTTTTACCAGAGAAATGATCAAACTGCATTCTTCAGTGTAAGTAATATCTGCATAGAAGACGATAGTGAATATACTAAATACTATAAAGATGATTACCTAACATGTTACAAAGACGAATGTTCAGTAGCAAGATATCCAACTATGAACCAATGCAACTAACCATCTAATGAACAGAGTGATCAGTGGATTTGGTCTCTACCCACTTATACGATATCAATATTTATGATTATCTTTATTTGTCGACATCACCTTCTCCTTCGGATAATCTGGTCGACATCGCAACCCAGTTGACGGGTCTCCTATCTCAAGAACATGACCACAGCACTACATGATATCAATCATATCAACCGAATACCCTGCATATCATCTTAATTTACAAATTCAGCTATCATGATACTTCGAACTTTTGACCAATTTTACTCGGAATTTAGTTGTTTAGAGATGTCGGTTCCTTACTAACTAGGTTACAGTGAACAGTTTAGGGTTTGGATTTATCATAGAATATGATGGTGAACATTTGTAATCTTGACCAGCTACTTAGAATCGAGGAATTTTAGATTGAATATCTACTTCACCATATTAAAGACGAATTAAAAATGAGATACGTAATACTGAACAATTCAGTCTTCGGGTTTGTTGACAATATCTGTACTAATATTATTACCATTAGAGATGATATATTACGGTTACGAATAACGTCTAATGTATATCATCCTGTATTATGTATAGAGCGATAACGAGTTCACCCAGATTGCAAACGGAACAAAGACCCTGTGACCACAGGTCAAAAAGCTGGCTATTCTGATGCGTCTCAGCTTCCCTCACTAGAGAGGGAATTCCAAGTCCGAAACGAGGAATTACATTCCGCACAGCCAGAAGTATGAGCAATCAAGACAGGCACAAATCAAAAGTGTATCTACGGCATGAAATAACCCATGCGAAACGTTACAAAGAAGCATATTAAAAGATACTATGAACCAATTAAAATTCTTCCAAGTTAAAACGAGCGGCATTTACAAAGTTATGGGGATTTGACATTCACATCATTCTGAGAATGCCACCTACTACATGGACAATGGTCAGCACTTCGTTCGTCCGCTATTCATCGAGGGAATGACTATATGATGTTCGTATGTAACCATAATTTAAGTGAACATTATTCGGAATACAACATATTCGTTTGTACTCTCAAGCTTGAATACGGATTAAGACGAGAATTGATAATGCGGTAATCGGACAGCTATGAATATTACTAAGCAGTGAATCTATTCGACTACTCATGTTTTTCACATACATCTATCACTCCATATGAGAATAAACCAATGGAAACGAATAAAGCGCTTCAATGAATCACAAAGTGTTGCGAAATGTTTAGACAGATGGTAATGAAAACTATTTATCACCTATTCATCCAGTTATGTAAATTTCAGTGTTACGTCTATGTTGAAGCACTGATTGTTCCTGAACACTATCATTGAACATTACTTATAGCAGTGAAACATGAAGCATTGGATTTTTATCGGAACATTTCTGTTACATTTTGTTTTATATGGAATATTTTGAGGTAATATGTCACACACTGTGTGTGGTTTTCTAACGATGAGCATAAATATTTCCGTATTTTGATTATTCGTTCCTGAGGTTTGTCGTACTTATATTTCTTCAATATGCATTAGTAACTAACTATATTGATTTACTTGAAATATCCTAGAAGAATAGATCACTTGGTTCTCAATTAGTCATAGATTTCACTAGATTCATATGAGCATTATAGTATCGGAGTTACTTTGAATATTAATTTGAACGTTTAGGTGAATAATGAAAAACTCATAAATATTTGATTGTTGAATGTACGAGACAGTTGAAGCTAGACCACCGAAGAATTCCTGGATTCATTGAACGACTGATTCGTCCTAATGTGGTATTTCCAGTTGGGCACATTCACGATCTGGCCTCCTGAGATTCGAACACAGGACGCATCGGACTTACTTCAATAAAGTTCCACAATGGATATATTTTCCAAAAGTTACACAGAGCTGTAATGTAACATTCAAGCACAATGTGTGATTACGTAACAGAGAAAATTTCAAGTTGACATTATAGGGCACAAATAAAGATGAAAATGATGAATCGCTCATTTAATAACTAATCTAATGACAATGATACTTTGAATATGTTCTTCATCTAGGTAAAGTAATCAACACTGAAGATGGATAACAATTATTGAAATCACTTTATGTACGTTACATTGTTATCCATTAGAACAGAAATAAACACATGTAATCAGTTTGCACACACACAAACAAGTTTTTGACTAATCCCATAATAAATCAACAACAACAACAAAATCAAGAAGGTTCTCGTCGATCCAGTATTCAAATTCAATGTTTTGTTGATCGGAACTGGAATATAGAACTTTCAGTCGTGTTGACATTAATGATATCCATATTGATTGATAAATTTGAAAAAAATACGGCATATAATAATATAGATGCCAGTGAATAATTTGGATATAAGAGAAGATATCTTGATTTGCCAACAGTTAAATAACTTATGAATATTGTTACCTGTAAAATAAATAACACGATGACCAGTATGTAAATTGTAGTAGTGTGAATAGTTGACTTGACGAGTCAATCTAAATTAGATGCACCATTGAAATCCTAGAAACACTGCAGGTCATTTTGTCATAACATGGAACTCTTCATAGTACACAACAATGATCATGTGGCCACACTTATCTACTAGTTAAGTATTCGCATGTGGGAACGAAAGTCCTAGGTTGGAGTCCTGTGTTTGGGATCGTAGATGAGCACTGTTGAAAAGCGCCATACGAAAGCTAAACAGCCATTCACTGCTTCCATGTTCTCAATAGTGATCTAGTTTAGATCGACTCGTCAATTGAACTGTTTGAAAACATTTATAAGTTTGGATTTCATATGCATAATTCGATAACCAAATTAGAATAAGTGATGATATTTCTTGTGTAATTTCTTATGTAAGAAATATTAACGAAAATGACATGATTGCAGTTCTGCAACTGAAATTATAAGTGAAGTTCGTTTAATATTGTTTGCTTGAATCTTATCATTGATGTTTACAACTGTAATTGATCAGTCTCTCTCTTTAGTGAAACGTGTGCATAATGTGAGTATCGCCTCGAAATCGCATTACTCCACAAGTATTACAAGCCAATAGTGAATAGTGGTTAGTAGTGGAATATAGAACACGCGTTTTGTTCAATTTAACACTCATCAACTGGATGTACTAGAATTTCAGATTTTGTTTTAACTCTGGGCCTCGAACCCAGTACCATTCGCTTCAAACGGCATCGCGTTATCTACTTAGCTACTGAGTACTAACAGTCATTTGCTTGTGCAATATCAAGTGGATTTAAACTTCATCCCATCGCCCAAGCAAGTTGCTATCAAGATTTCAGTTAAAGAGTGAACCGAACTCTGTGATGTAAATACGTACGACTGTTGAACGATGTTGAAATTGAAAGCGATTGGTCCCTTTTTTATAAGTTTCGATAGAGTAATGAGAATACGGAGTTGATCGGAAAAACGATTGATGCTAAACCACTATCGAATAACCTGTAAGCATTAGAAATGTTTTGTCCTATTGTTGAACTCCTCAGCAACGCGTATCCACGATCACGCATGCGCCATACGAACTCAGGATCTTAGGTCTTCCTAGAGAATGTTTGATCTCTATTTCACTGACACGGTTTGTAACGGTGTAGATGTCTAACTTCTATCGGTCAATGAATGTTTCCCAACACTTCATACATCGTCTGAGCTATATACATATCTCTCTTCAGAATCACATATCACTCAGAATATCGATATCACTTCACATTGAACCATATCATATGTAAGCCATTTTAAGTGGAGACCTCAATAAGGCAATTTCAAATTCATTTGAGACAAACAGTTCACTCTATTACAAAGTGATCATTCTATTAACAAAAAATGTACATCAACTTAACTCACAACGAACAATGATATTTGTGCACCTATGAGAACACCGATCGTGTAATACTGAAAACAAGAAGATGATTTAGTGAATTCATTTGAACAATTCAACATTACATTTACATTGAACAATACTCAAACATGACTATATGTGATTACGCCAGTGTATACTTCTAGAAGATAAGTTAATTCAGTCGCGTTTATCTCATATCGGATTAGGCAAATCCGATTCACCCCTTTTTATGTTATCTTGTGGAGGGTGGGACATATCTACATATATTGATTCCAGGGTTCGTTCTATATCAGGCCAAATTATTACTTACTTACTTACTCACGCTTGTTACTCCCAATAGAAAATAGGCCGCAGACCATCATTCTCCAACTCACTCTATCCTGAGCCTTCTTTTCAAGTTCCATCCGATTCTTGTTCATTTTTTTCACGTCTATCTCCATTTTTCAGCGTTATGTATTCTCTGGTCTTACTCTTTATCTTTGACCTTGAGGATTCTACGTAAGAACTAGTCTTGTGTCACATTTGGGTGGTTTTCTTGATGTATGTCCTATTTATTTCCGAAGTTTTTTCCTGATTTCTTCCTCCGCTGTGATCTGTTATGTTTCTTCTAGATGATGGCTTTCGTAGTTCTACAGGTTTCCGCCCCATTTAGTACCACTGCCTTGACATTTGTATTAAAAATCTTGACCTTAGTGTTGGTTGACATTTGCTTTGAGTTTCATATGTTCTTTGATTGTAAATATGTTGCTCTTGCTTTGCCGAACTGCACTTTCACATGTGCATCAAATTCCCCATGTTCATCAATGATGCTGCTTAAATGCGTAAAGGTTTTTACAACTTCCAAATCTCCTCTGTCAGTTGTGTTTGTATTGGTGAATGCTGTGTTGTGTCGAAGAATCTTGCTTTTTCCTTTGTGTATATTGAGACCTACTGCTGCTGAGGCTGCTACTGTACTGGTCATCTTCTCCTGCATTTGCTGTTGCGTTTGCGATATAAGATCCAGGTCATCTGCAAAGTCTAGATCGTCCAGCCGCATCCCTATCTGTGCACTGTGTCCCGTGCTTTCCTTCAGATGTTGACGTCTTCATGATCCAGTCGATCACCAGGAGAAAGAGAAAGGGTGAGAGTAAGCAACCTTGCCTAACACCGGTCTTCACTTCGAACGATTTTGTCAACTGTCCTCCATGCACGATTTTGCAGTGTAATCCATCATATGAACTCTGTATGATATTGACTATCTTTTGAGGCACGCCGTAGTGTCGAAGAAGCTTCCATAGTGTTGTCCTGTCCACGCTATCAAATGCCTTTTCGTAGTCAATGAAGTTGATGTAGAGTGATGAATTCTATTTATTTGATTGTTCCAAAATGATCCGTAGAGTTGCAATTTGGTCTGTACACGATCTATCCTTACGGAATCGTGCCTGTTGGTCACGACGTTGGGCGTCTACAGATTCCTTCATTCTGCTTAGCAATATCCTGTTGAAGACGTTTCCCGGTACTAAGAGAAAAGTGATGCCCCTGTAGTTATCACAGTTGCTGAGATCGCCTTTCTTTGGTACTTTGACCGAAAAACCTTCTTTCAAGTCGCTTAGTACTTGTTCTTAATCCCGAATCTCATTGAAGAGATTGTGAAGTATCCTTGCAATTGTCGTTACGTCTGCTTTCAGTGCCTTTGCTGGAATGTTGTCTGGTCCTGTTGTTTTGCAACCCTTGATTCATCTGATGGCCATGCTAATTTCTTCATTTTTGGTGGGCCAACATTGATTAGGAGATCCGTGGGTGCTGCTTTGATATTGGGTGTGTTCAGTGGAGATGATCGATTGAAGAGTTCTTTGAAGTATTCTACCCACCTGTTTCGTTGTTCTTCAATGTTGATGATTACCTTGCTTTCCTCGCTTTTCACTAGTCGTTCTGTTTTACGGTGATTTCCAGATAGTTTCTTTGTCGTGTCATACAGTTGTCTCATGTTGCTTTTTATCGCCGTCATTGCTAAATCTTCCACATACTTACGTTTGTCACTTCTGTTGCTCCTCTTCACTTGTTTGTTTGCTTCTGCGTATTCAGCTTGTGCCTCGGCTTTCCTTGCTCTTGTTCTGCAGATATTGATTTTGGCCTTCTTGTTTCTCCTTTCTTGAATCTTATCCATCGTATCAACAGTGATACATTCCTTGTGATGATGCTTCTTGTGGCCCAAAACCATATGGGATAGTGAAGTGATTGCCTTTATGATCCCTTTTCAGTTGCCTCCTATTGAGTAGATCATGAAACGCCTGGAGTCTATTGCTAGGGGTTATCTTAAATTTGTAGAGTTTGTCCGTATTTTGAAGCAAAGCCGTATTGAAATTTTGTGATATTGTCCACCCTGTTGTCCAGTAATTCTTAAGTTTCTATTTAATCTTGACGATCAGCAAGTGATGATCTGATGCTATATCAGCTCCTCTCTTGGTTCTCACGTTCTCCGTCGTCCTCCTGAACTTTTGATCGATGCAGATATGGTCGATTTGATTTTGCGTGGTGTGATCCTTTGAAGTTCATGTGGTTTTACGAATGCGCTTATGTGGAAATATGGTGCCGCCTATGACCAGCTTATTGAAGGCACATAGGTTTGTAAACCTCTTTTCATTCCTTTCTCTTAGTCCGTGACATCCCATGATGTCTTCATACCCGATGTCGACCATTTCAACCTTGGCATTTAAATCTTCCATCAGCATGATGAGGTACGTTTTTGGACACTTCTCAAGGACCGACTGCAGCCTACCGTAGAATTGATCATTGTCGTCTTTATTGTAGTCGATGGTGGGCATAAAGCATTGAATGACGTTCACTGAAATGTCGTCTTTCTTTGTTTTGAAGAAGGCTTCGAAGATCCTCGGTACATGACATTCCCATAGCTTGAATAATTGGTCTGTCTTAGATCTTTGATTGAAAAGAATGTAAATGGATTACTGGTGAATAACATGAATGTAGTGGTTTTATTAAAGTGACAGAAACGTTTGCAGCACCGACGCTAATGTGGGAAACTCCGCCTGGAGTCCCTCCGTGGGATACTGCCGGTCCCAAGCCCGGATAAAGGAGGAGGGTTGGGCATGGGGTTAGCGTCCCTATCCCGTTAAAAACTGACTCGCTAAAAAAACGCTAAGCAGTGTGCTAATGTGGGTGCTATGAAGCTAATATTCCTCTAACTAGTGTATTTCGTATAAACAAGTGAGTTATATTAGTTAGGGGAAAGCTCTTGTGATACACATTGGTTCTGATACAACTCTTCAAAGGCTTATTTATTCATTCTAGTATGACAACTGTGTGTTCAAGTAGGCCCTTTACGTTCAGTATTATGCCAGAACTATGATCATGGAACATTCTTCAAAATTAACGTAATATCTACTTGTGATACGAAAATGAAGATACTCAACCGTTCAAAGATGATTACCTAACATGTTAGAACGATTCATGTTCTGTTGCAGATATCAAACTATGAAAAACTGCAATTCACCCAGTAATGGACAGAATCATTTATGGATTTCATCTTTGTTCTCTTCCTAAACAACGCTTCACTCTTATACAATATCAACGTTTATTGCCGCTTTGATAATCAGGTTGACGTTGCAACTGAGTTGATGGGTATTATATCTAAAGTTGAGAACCACAGCACAACATTATATCAATCATATCAACCAAATACCCTGCAAATCAACTAAATTTACAAGTTTAGCTAACATAATATTTTGGACTTTTGATCGATTTCACTCAGGATTCAAATTTTCACAGATGTTGATTACTTGGTAACTAGAATACAGTGAACAGTTTCGAGTTTATAACTATCAAAGTATATTATGGTGAACATTCGTCATTGTTGAGAGAGTAAACTAGATTCAATCAGGATTACGTCATTTAGAAATCAAATAATTTGTCTCAAAATAATACCTTCATTTGTTTCAAAGCAAAGAGCACAACCGCGACTATCACAATGACAATAGATATAACCGAAAATGATATTAGAATGCTCATTAAGTGATCCGTCAAATCTGTTTTAATCGCTGCACCAATCAGTAATTCACATGTGAATAATACCAAACTGATTCCAAAGATTACAAGTTTGGCAATAGCATCTAACTGTGTATTCCAAACTCCTAATGCTGTTGCCATGCAAATAGACTGAAAATGAGAAAGAATTTTATAGTTCTAATAGTATACATATTCATTCATATATGTTTGTATTGTATATGAATGCTGATAATAATGTTTACCGAAGGTATGAATTCATTTTCCAAAAATGACAATTTCAAATTTGACATAATTAGTTTACTTACTATTTATTTATTCGAACAAATAAATATTGAGACAAAAGGGCACTGAAAACATTTACACCATATATTTCACTTGATTTGTGTGAGAGTTACAATGCTGCCTTCAACCTGAAAGTTGGATCCACAAATCAGTGGAGAAACATTAGGAGACGCAGACCCACGCTAGCCGGTGACCAACGATTAGTTCACACGCCATTTGTTTCTTCTGGATACTGAAGCCCGTGTGCAACATCGATTTGAAATCAGAGACTTCGAATTCACCTGAGTGGAACTTCAGTACCTGCAAACTATGTGAGAGCAACGGTCATTTGCTCTCATCCTCTCAATTTTGTAAACAACACCCGCGCCTCGAGAAGGCAGTGAGTAGGATTTCAATGGAATAGACTGTTGATGTGTAGCCATGTGAGAGAGTATCGAGAGAACGAGCGGAAATATCTGGCATATCTATCGCAACAGATCGAAGATTTGAATTAACTTGTACATCGATCAGAATTACGCTTTCGCAAGCCGCTTCGGTGTCATAACCACCTGTCACATCGGATCATTATCTACAGACAGTACACTCATTCTCATTTGCACACCTTTTATTTTATTGAATTATATTAAACAGAGTAACAAAGTAAATGTGAAACGATTATCAGAAATTCTTACATAAATAATTACAAGCGCCACATCCAGCGGATATTTCTCATTTATCTTCTTCACGAATGCGATTAACAAGGCTATCACAAATGCTATCAAACTACAAAATAAAACAGAAATACCTGGTGAGTATAACATGATCAACTCTGACTGTATCTCTTCTATGGGCTCATCCGGATCTTAAGTACGGGATAATAAGAAGGTTGAGCGTGGAATCGGCAACCCTATCCTGTAGAAAACAACTTTTCTACAAGAAAACCCTGAACAGAATAAACCTCCAATTTGAAGGAAGAGTTATGACGCCTCATGATGAGAGCCGAGATTCATCAGAAGTCACGAGGCCGATGTTTCTTCTAACAATAAGACCAGTAATTTTCCTATCTCGTTATTGAGTGGCTCATTGTTGTCAGTACCATTAAAAAATGGAATTTTTATATCTAATATATTCGGCACTGTGTTCTTTGTACTGAATAATCTTGAGTTAATTTCGTCCAGCTCGTTTATCTACTCTGAAGACGTCGCTGATATTAGGTGACGGAACATCAGAATTACGATTTTTCTACTCATTGTTTGGGATAATAGAAACAATAATAATACACTTTCTAGGCAATGTCCAATTTATTTGAAGCTATCCAGTTCATCCTTGACATACATAGATCTTAATCATTCTGCCTTAATATTAATCACCCTTGATAATTGATTGAATGCACTTAGTATTGTTGTTTACTTGTAACTTCCCATTGATGTTTAGCATTTCAATTGACCAGTCTCTTAATGGCTTATGTGCATACTGTGAGCACTGCATCGATATTGCCTTAATTCACAAGCATTGTAAGCAAAGATGGATGGTGGCTAGCAGTGGAATCCAGTTCAGTTGAATGTACCCACATACAAGCGTTGAGGTTCCATATAGGATTCGAACCCAGAACCATTAGCTCTACACATAATTACGTTATTCACTTAGCTAATGAGGGTTGATGACGCGATGTTACGCACGCTTTGTACATATACGTATATCCTGGTACCACCGAGTGAGCAATGTAGTTTTTTAAAAACAGGAACTAGGTAAGGATGGCAAGGTAGTGAAACGTCAGCAGTTGAGATAGCAGGAATATGTGTTAGGTATGCATATACGTAAAAGACATCAGATACATCGGTCAAACGCTATCAGCAACAAACTAATTTGAGAGAGTACAAAACAGATTCAAGTG